GGGGGAGCAATTATGGGGATACCTATTTTAAGAGGCATTAACATAACTTAAACACAAAATATCTAGTTCAACCATTCAAGTAAAGTATGATACTTAATCATCTATTACATTTGCAAAGAAATTCAATGATTTTCATTAAGATTACGATCAATAGATGATCCTCTTACGCCCATAGGTGAAATGGATCCGCTAGCTGCATCACTTGGCTGCAAAGAAATAAAAAGCATTTAAAGTTTTTTCCTTTTAGTTTTTCAAATTAAAAAACTACATATAGCTAGATTTTATTTACCGCTACCGGAGGAGAAACGAAAATCCCAGCAAACTGTTCAGGTATTGTCCCTTCTTTCATAATCATATATGTCTTGAAAGCATTCATCATTTGGAGGTGTGCAGTCATCATTTGAGCATAGTTCTCTTGGCTTTGATTGTGAGCATTTACAATCTGATTGTACTTCTCTTGGCTTTGATTGTGAGCATTTACAATCTGATTTGTACTTCTCTTCGCATTTGGACGAACATGAACCATTATCACAACTAGAAGAATTTATACCTCCAAAATGACGTCTTATTTGTCTAAAACCTTTACTCGGGATAGCTCCTAACCCCAAGCACCTTACCCTTCCAGAATGCTCTTTTCCTAGCACCTTACCAACGACATCATTTGGTGAAACTTCAGACTCATCTGTGGCGCTTTGACTTACAACTAGCTCAATTTTTCCTGAATATAAGATACACAACAGCTAATGAGTTCTTTTATGTTTCAACACACAAAAGAATGCAGCAAGCATAATCTAAGAAACAATAATTAGATTTTAATGATTGTATTTGGCAACAATTTCTGAAAATTCCATTTCTTTTACATAATAATTCCTGCAAAATTCTGGTGCCTTTCCAATACCAGTAACCATGATAAAGAAATCAGTGCAGATAAATTTAATGACTGCATTTGGAAACAAGAAGCAGACATAGAAGTACAGTAGAACAGAGTACATACAGACTCTCATCATCACTATAATCATGTCAAGCAAACTAACAATTACCTTATTCTTCTTGTTTCTGAACATATCTTTATTCCCTACTGGCATTTCTGGTTTAAATCAAGAAGGACTTTATTTAATGTCATGGCTTTCCACTTTTAACTCTTCCTCTTCTGTTGCATCCTTCTCTTCATGGAATCCAAGTCATGAAAATCCATGCAAATGGGCTCATGTTACTATACTCAGGTTAGTATGCCACCAGTAAGGACTCTTCTAATCAAGAGAGTTTGATATAACCTACAAGATTTTCACGAGAAAAAATAATTTAGTAACTTGTCAATTTTATAAGATCAGAGACATACTTTACAATTTTATAAGCTAAATAAAAGGGAATGTAAAGTTAGCTAGTTATCTAGCATGAACAACCATGAGAACATATTCAAATGAATATATACTACTAAACTAAGAGTACTATAGAAAATATCAATGTGTTTCTTGGCTTTCTCCATTATTATCATTCAACAGATGGACCAATACTAAGGGACTTTATAGAGAGGGGTTGCAATGGTCTGAATGAGTTTATAACTAAATTCATTTCTATGTAAAATATTGATCTTCATGCTGGTTGAGAAGACAGGGATCGTAATAGAAGAAGCTTCAAAAATCTCCCAAAATCAAAAATCTTTAATGTAAAACCAAGAGCAGTTAGGAAGCAAATTCAGTTCAACCCTTGCAGCAATTGTACTCAGTCAATCTGCTTGATGACACTAGCAGATATTTACCAATATTTTTAGTGATCTGCCACAATCAAAGACAGAATGCACCACGATCTCATTCTAAAGAGTTTCTTTCCGAGGATGAAACACCTAGCTTTGCGGCCTCAAGCGGGGCGGCACAGGCCTATGATACTGCTATGTATAATGCTGACATGATGAAATTCAGGAAAATGGTTATGACAATCCAAGAATTCAACAATGGTGAACATGGAAATACTCCAAGTGAGTAAAGACTCAACCCTTACTCTCCTCCTCGGGCAGTGACTGCAGAGATTTTGGTGCCTCGGGGAGACAAGAGTTATTAAAAGGAATGAACTGCTGCTTTGCTAAAAGTTCACCTGAAGCTTGAGATTTTTTTCCAAATAGTTCTTGACTGGAATCGGTAACAGAGATTTGAGAATATAACAATATCTATGATGTACATTTACTCATATCTTGATTTGAATAACAAAGTTTATAGGATCAGAATATATTTATACTTTTTTGTTTAATTCAATTTGTACAACAGTTCACATACAATTTCTATTGAAATGCTGAAAACCTTTCAGTTTACAATATAGTGATATATGTCTGCTAGTATACTAAGTATATTATATTTTATGTTTTAAAGTTTTTTCCTCTATAACTACGAAATAATTTATGTACCAAAAGCTTGTCTATTGTGAATGATTTATTTTTTACTTTGTCGGAGGTTTAGTGAGGAAGATTTCATTGTGCTCACAAAGATGCACAACAGTTTCTACCTATCAAAACAAAAAATAAAACTGTACTCGACAATTTCTGTTACTACTGTTATTATATTTTGCTAAACAATTGCAGTCTACATGAAAATACCAATGCAATCAACATGATATAAAGTAGCACACTCACAAAATTACACCTAGACATGGTAAGTTTCTGCATTCCCTTTAAAGCACGTCTGTAGTTGATGCCTTTTGAACTCACTTTAATCGTTTACATTTTGGAGTAGTCTACGGAGATAAATGGATCAAATTGAGGAATTAAATAGTCACAAGCCAGAAGACTACCATATATATCAAAGAGATATATTCTTTTGCTAACATTTTACAAAATTTCTTGAACAAAAAGTAGTAATACGACAGTATGAGAAATAAACTACCATGTCTAGGGAAAATCTAAACTCGTACGAAAAGTTAGCAGAAAATTCCATATACAAGTAATACATTTACTCATTGACTTTGAAGAGATTGCTCGAGCACCAACCTCAAACGACGCGCTAATAAAATCATAAAAAGGAGCAAAGAGAACCTAAATCAAATCACATGCAAAAATTATTGAAATTGGAGCAGAGAAACCTAAATCAAATAACATGCAGAAACTACTTAAATTCAGATATTAGGAAAACATACTCAAAACCCTAGAGGAATTAAAATCGGATATAAACAAATTAGGAAGGAGAGGGCAGAGAGCTGCAATTCGAGTTGTACCTTTTGTCAGGAGATTCAACGACAAACACGCTTTAATTCGAGTTGTAATTGCTGAAATTCACATTAAAATCGCACAAATATCAAACTTAGAGGAATTAAAATCGGATATCAACTATTTTTGCAATGCAGAGACTGATTTCGCACAACTATTTTCGCAATGCACAAATATTTCGCACAAAAATTTTCGCAATCGGATATCACATTAAATCGCAACTTAGAGTGAACCCTAAATCGTTACAGTGAAAGACAATGAGAGATTAAAGAGAGAAAGAGAACTTGTCATTTCAGGAGGAGAAAGTCAACCCTAAATCGTTAGAATGAAGAGCAGGCACTGTGATGTGGGCGGTGGGTGGAAATTTTTACCTTTCAATTTTTATGTGGGCGAAAATTTCTGGAAAAAAAGAGGGAAAGATTTCGTTCAGGGCTTGTGTGTGCCAAAAAAGTAAAAAGAAAGAACGGAAATTGAATTTTAGTGCAGAAAAGCAAAAAGAAAGAACTGTGCGTCTGATTGCTTGACAGCAATTGTTTTGAGATTTGCACCACCAAAATTTTAATTTAAGTTTAAGGGAGGTTTCAAACGCCGCAAATTGAATTTTAGTGCAGAGGTCAATAAGACCCCCTAAATTAGATACAATTTGTGGAGGTTAATTATAACCCCGTAATAAAACCGCCACAAATAGACTGTTTTTTTGTAGTGTGAATTCCTTCTTTCTGGTGAGTGTTTTGATTTCTCGGAGGAATTCAACCATGTTTAGTTTAAATTTTTGAAGCTTAATCTATGTTGTGATTTTGTTTTGTGGTGGTGATATGGAGATATGTTTGTTTGAATGGAAGCTGTGTGAGGGTGTTATTACAAAATAAAGTAATGTTGATATCACATTCACAAATTATGCCCTACGAATGTTTGACAAAATGCCTGATAAGCATCTTAAACACTATGACCTTCCATATTGTTTATTCATTTCCAAATATGAACAAAATTAATTAAATTTTCTCAATTCTTGTCTGATTCAATTGTCTGTAGGTTAGCAACTTAGATGTGTGCGGGTTTTCAGTCACCAGGTATTTGTTTCTTGTACACTTAATAAAATACTTAGTTGCATGATCCTAGTAAGCGATCATTAGATGTGAATGAAGATATTATCCTGTGTGGCAGGAGAATGCTTGTAAGTAATTTTCACATCCATATGTATCATTAGCCTTATATAGGCCTGTTTAGTTAGTATTGTATGGTAGTTAACTCTTGGCTTTCAAAGGAGAAATGTCATAATAATAAATGTGCTATTAACTTGTCTAAATATAGGGTTCTATTTACCCTGCTAATTATTTCGTCCCTACGAAAATTGTGCAATTAGTCGAACGTGTTTAGAATTTACTAGGTTGAAATATACTGATGGCTATGCTGGTTGATTAGGTGAAGAATGAGGTTGTGCAAATCTACTGGACTCTGTGTGAGTGATATGGAGTTGCTGTGAGAGAAAGTCCACAGTATGGCAATTTATGGTAAGGTCCTTGTAAATTTGATGGCCAAACAGCATCTTTCTTTATTAAAGTAATGTGTTTTTTACTAAGGCATTTTTTTCATTGATGGCAGATATATAACTATACTTCAACTGGTTGTCTTATAAGGATAAGGATACTCGTAAAAATAGCTGCACTATATAAATTTATTTTATTAAATTATTCTTGCATATAGATTATGCAATCTTATTTTGACTTTCAATGATCTGCTAGTTATTTTCCGTTTTATGAAAATATAGATTAACTACCTCAGAGAACCTTGTTGTCTCAATTCAATAGAGTATCAAATGGGCGGATGCGCAAGGGAATTGGAGCAGACGGGATGTAGCAGAAAAAGAGAAAGAAAGAATTGAAGAAGTGAAGAAATCTGTTGTTGCAGAATTTGTTATAGAGCTATTCATAAATACATTCTTGTAATTAATTATAGAGAACTTCTATTTATTATAGTTCAAATTGTCTATGTTGAATGACACTTGTAGGTATTTAATTAGAAATTTGAAGGTTATACTTTCATTATAGCAAAATATAATTTCAGCTTTATATCTATATTATATTAAAAGGAGAGTAGTGAAACATGAGGTTAAGCCAAGTGGCAAGCTAAAAAAAACCAACTTGACAATTTTAAGACAACATTAAAAATTTGAATTATAAATGGAAACATAATTAATGGAAGTAGTAGTTCAATAAGAATTATTTTTTAATTATGATACAAATCTCTATTAGTAGTATAATTTAGTTAATATTTTTTTGTATAATTATGGTAGAGACGAATTTTAAATAATTGATCAAGCTTTGTAACTGACCTTATTTTGGTACAATATACATTACTGTATGTATCTTTAATTAAAATTTTATGTATAATTCAGTTATGGTAGATATCCTTTTCTGAGAAAGAATCAATTAAATTTTCGTTTTGTATCTTACACATCAATTTTAAATTGAAATAATAATTCTTTATTTAGTACAAGCTTTGTATCTAACCTTATTTGGATGCAATATACATTACTATAGATATCTTTAATTAAAATTTTGTGTATAATTCAGTTATGGTCGGTATCCTTTTTTGAGAAAAAATCAATTAAGTTTTTATTTTGTATCTTACACATTAATTTTAAGTTGAAAGAATAATTTTTTATTTAGTACAAGCTTTGTATCTGACCTTATTTGTAAACAATATACATTACTATAGGTATCTTTAATTAAATTTTGTGTATAATTCAGTTATGGTAGGA